ATACATACATACATACATACATACATACATACATACATACATACATACATACATACATACATACATGTAGGCATTTCTCAATTCTCTTTTCATATCGCTCTAATTACTTCTGCACTTGAGTGTATACGTGTGTGCGATTGTGCAAGCAGTCATTTCACACGTTATTAAAATTTTCACAGTAATGGTATCTCAGGATATTCATATAAATCCTCTTACGCTTCGTCTATTTTGTAGCACCGCAAGGTCAGAGTGAGTTGGATAAGAGGAGGTAGATTACGCTGAACTAGTTGACGACGCAAAGGTCACATTGGAAGCAGATAACTTAAATCACATGAGACGGTTTAGGCTGATTTGACGAGTGAAGTTGCTGAAATGTAGTCAGTAGGTCTCGGGATGACGAAGGCGACTCAAGTTGTAGGTTAAAATCATACTCATTTGCTACATTGTGTTAAAAAAATGTGTGAAGATTGGACGGCCTTACGAACCTATAAGGCTGTGTACAAATAATCCGTGCGTTGAGCAAGCTTTAGAATGTTCGCGTTTGTGCAATATTGGGAGGATGACTAGCCGACATCGGTGCTAGGAGTGGATGTGTTGTAGTCATCACACAAACCAACAGTTTTCTGATGCGCTTTACTGAGGGCAGGATACGAAATATTCAAACTCCGCAACATGCTTTTTGTCAGATTTCATGCTGAATATAATTACAACTAGCAACTGTTACATCAATCCAATCAACTAATTGCCTTCATACATGTTCGTCATGTTTAGACGAGTGGGTTATGCCCTCTGGGGCAATAACGGTGTTTAGAGGGGGCACTGCGGACACGAGCTAATTTCCCAAATTAACTTCATTCCCTGCTCACTGCTCGTGGCAATCAATCAACTGGGATCTGTTGGCGGCAACAGGACGGAGCAGGCTTCCGCAATGGCCACTCTTTTTGGAGCCTCGCGACCGGACTTGTCGGCCGAACAGATTCAGCAGTGCATCGGCGAATTGGACGCCTCAAGAATGAACTCGGCTGCGACTTTCACGTCTACAGCAAATATTCATTCTCCCCCAACTGAATCACGGACGTAGGCATCGTCAGCATGGCAAGAATAACCACTTTCCACGTTGTCCCTATGGTTCTGTACTGGCGACTTGACGTATAACCCCCTCAACTAGTGCAAAGCAAGTTCGAGTCCACCCAAGTGTATGTCTACTGACCCCTCAGGACGCTTGGCTTTGGAGCGAAGTGATAATAATAGCCAATGAAAATACTATTTTTCACCAAGAGAAACTGCATTTCGATGCATCTCTTGAGATAACATTGCTAGGGAGACTTTCACTTCGTATGAAAGTGAATGAAAAGGATATTGTCTGGTCGATCTCACCAGATGAGATAGGACCTTTGACAACTTTGATTTTGGAACTGTATTGCATATAGACGCTAACACGCACAAATACACATACGGGATTAGTATAAAAGATAATTAACCAAACCACTCTATATCCATATAGGTTCTTAATTTTCAATTTTTTTGCCTCGATTAAGTCTATGTGAGAAGTAAGATAGAGCCGGATAGTGTTCTTGCCCCAATGTTAGCGTGAGATTCTTACAAAAAGGACATCCAGCTCTGATGGTGTCCATCATATGATGGACGAAAGCTCAGCACATCTTCATCAGAAACGAAGGAGGAAGTCTCGTGGACTGCGTCAACATGAATTTCGTATGAAAGCCAAACGGCTGCAGTAGAACGAGATTAATCCGTCTTCATCTGGTGAGATCGACCAACGAATCTCTTCTTCATGCACTTTCATACAAAACGAAAGTCTCCCCAACAATGTTATCTCGGGAGATTCATCGAAACCCAGTTTCTCTTTGTATCTTATTTATATGCCTAGCTGTAATCATGAACCCCTGTTGTACTCTTTTGGTTCTTCGATGCAGCCCACAGTACTCTATTCGTTTTTGGAGACGTCATCATCTGCTCTTTTCTGTCAAACCACCTCTGCATTAAGAGGTGTCATTGTACTGACTATTCTCTAGGACTTGAGGTTATCTATGGTCGTTTTAGGGGTGAAGACACGGATTTCTTCAAATCTCTCTCCATATATGAGGTCTACTCATATCATTGTGGGAAAACTCCACTACAAGTCGTCCTTAAGTCACCTTTAGCCGACTTGGGCGACCAATTTCTTATTGTGTAATAGTCACTAGCGCCAGACCAACGACCAACGAATCTCTTCTTCCTGTACTTTCATCCGAAATGAAGGTCCCCCTAACAACATTGTTGACTAGTCTAGCAATAATATTAAATAAATAACCACATATATAAATCATATGAGATGTATTCCCCATATTTCGTTTCAAGCTGATAAAGGAATGGGAGTAGAATTTTCCCACAATGCTATGAATAGAGTTGACGTTTCCGTTGAATTTCACATGGTCATGTTATGGCAAAAGGCCTGGCCTTCCTTGAAATTCACACCTGCCCTGTGACCCAACGGCACTCGTGGCAATGCGGCCGAGTTGTTAACGCGTCAAGCTCCCATTCTGTACTGCCACGGTTCGACTCCCGCTGGGGGTGTTGATAAGACCGATACGTAGTCAACTTTAGCATGGATAAGAACAACTTATGGGAAAGCAAGGCTATGTGAAGTTCAAGGGAAACGTCAGCTCTATTCATCATCGAAACCCTAA